TGCGGGGGGGGGGGGGGGGGGGTTACATCCAGGGGGAAAGTCCTCCTTCTGGGAAGGGGCATCCCCTGTGCTTGGGAGGTCCCGTCAGACCTTTGTCACTCCCCAGCTCAACCGGAGCAAACAGACCAAAAAACCCTTGTCCTCCCCAGGGAGCTCAGGGAAGCACCAGGGGCACAGGGAAACCTGTCCCTCACCTCAGTGCCGGTGGGCAAGGGTGGCTTGCTGGTGCCATCACGCTGTTTTTAAACTGAAACCGGGGCTTTTGACAGCACCTTGGGTTTGGCTGCCTCTTTGTTACGAGTTTAGCCCTGCAGTGTTCCGGTCCCCTTCATCAAGCTGTGATGATGGTGTTGAGCTAAAGGGAGTCTGAGCCCTGGAGCAGCTTTCAGCAAGCTTTGGGAGTGGATAGCAGCTGTGCCAGGGAGCAGGGCACCGTTTCGGGGGGATTTCATACATTCGTCCCATGAAAAAACATATATAAGGGAAACCTCTCCACTTGGACTTCTGCTTGCTTTAATTTTTCCAGATAAGATTGAATTGAGGGACCATTGAGCCCCCAGCACGGTGCTGCTAGTGCTGGGGCTGTATGTTGTGGCCAACCTGAGACCATTTCTCTTGCTGTGACGGTTGTGGACTTTAACTTACCTGTCTGCAGCTGAACCCCAAGGAAAACGAAATGCTAAGTGAGGAAGCGAAATGCTAAGGGAAGTGATCGTGCCCCTGTACTCGGCACTGGTGAGGCCGCACCTCAAATACTGTGTTCAGTTTTGGGCCCCTCACTACAAGAAGGACGTCGAGGTGCTGGAGCGTGTCCAGAGAAGGGCAACGAGGCTGGTGAGGGGTCTGGAGAACAAGTCTTATGAGGAGCGGCTGAGGGAACTGGGGTTGTTTAGCCTGGAGAAAAGGAGGCTGAGGGGAGACCTCATCGCTCTCTACAACTACCTGAAAGGAGGTTGTAGCGAGGTGGGTGTCGGTCTCTTCTCCCAAGTAACAAGCGATAGGACGAGGGGAAATGGCCTCAAGTTGCGCCAGGGGAGGTTTAGATTGGACGGGAGGAAAAATTTCTTTTTTGAAAGAGTGGTTAAACATTGGAACAGGCTGCCCAGGGAAGTGGTTGAGTCACCATCCCTGGAGGTATTTAGAAGACGTGTAGATGAGGCGCTTAGGGATGTGGTTTAGTGGGCATGGTGGTGTTGGGGTGACGGGTGGGCTCGATGATCTTAGAGGTCTTTTCCAACCTTAATGATTCTATGATTCTGTGGTCCTAACCTAAGGTTTTTAAGGTGCCTTTAGTCTGCATTAAGAAAGATCTATAAAAGCCAGGGAGAGGTATTAGAGAGGCTCTGATGTGATGTTCACAGCAGAAAGCTGATTAATTTAGGTAGACAGGTGGCATATGGTCTCCAGATGCTTTCAGAGGGGTGAGCTACTGTGATACCCAAAAAGATGGCCCACCCAAAGGGGACCGGCGTTTAAAGTCACTTAAACTTCCATATGCAAATGCAGCCTGGACTAAATAAAATTATTGTATTTATTTACTCAAATTGCATGGATTTATGGTCTAGGAGAGGTGAACTGGTAAGCAAGGATGTAATGGCATTACAGCTGATGCCTCAGGGATGCTGTCGATGGAAAATACTTCCTTTAAGACTGGGCCATTAGTGGATGCTCTCTCAGCATCTCCTGCTTGACCGAGTAGTGGAGAAGCTGCTGGTCTGGGTTGCCAGGCCGTCTCCTTGCTGTGCTGGATGTGGTGGTTAGCAAGAGGGAGGATGCGGGGCTGGTGCCTTTCCACCCGCGGCCGCCCTGGCTTTGCTGGGAGAACAGCAAGATCGACAGCAGTTATTGCCATGAGGTGAAATGTAGGCTTGGTGGGTGTTGTTTTTTTATATAAATCCTTTCCAGTGTTTAGTTTGGGCTTGTTGGCAATACACACACAGTTTTGCTTTACAGCTGATTTTTATTTAAACATAAAATCCAGACATGAGTGGAAAATTTACAGGGCGTGCGGTACCAAGGAGCAGCTTTACGGCACCTGACTTTGCACGTGCGGGCTCTTAATCCTGTCGCTTTGGTAAGTTTGCAGCCCTTCAACCCCTGACGCTTTGGCCAGCGTTGACCCGGGTGAAGGTCCACCTCAGCTTGAAGGGCAGCCCAAGGGCTGAGGGTGGCGATGCTGGCCAGCCAGCTGTGTGCTGCTCACGAGGGTAAACGCTCCCATTGCCTCCAAGTTGCTTGGGGTAATGCGGTAGCTGGTCATGGCTGAAAAGCCTAAGCCAACCTCATTTTGGCAACTGAAACGTCCCTTTGTGGCCTTCAGTGCTTCCCACTTGAGAGCCTGCTGCGTGGTCTGCTCTCCTCAACTCACACATTTTGCCCTGGTCCCAGGTATAATGAGATTCTACTCCTTTGCTGACTGCTTTGCACCTCTGCTGATCCTCATGTTACAGATCAAATACCTCTTGAGACAGAACTTAATTATCCGATACTGTTGCTAATAAAGTTAATACTTGATACTGTGCAACTGCTGGTGTCTGAAGTGATTTCTCTTGGAGATGCACCGATGCATGCACTTTTAGTTTGCATTTTTCCTTCTGGTCATCCTTCTCTCCCATTTTAGATTGTAAACTTGGAGAAATCACTGACAAGGGCCGGGTGAAGGAGCCGCGAGAGAATTGCTTTGAGAGCCCGGTTATTCTAATTTAATATCTCCAAATGACCTGCAGGTAGGTATGGAGAGTGTATTTATTGCATCTGCAGGGAAAGCAGGCAAAAAGGGAATTTATCCTTTGTCTTTGATGGTAGTCAGCTAAGGAAAGTTACGAGAAATGAGGGGAAAAATCAATACAGGTTCAAATTGGGCAAGAATGAGGTCTGAGTATAAAGCAGGGACTGCTGGTGAGAGCGCCACGGTACGGGGATGGATGCTGACGGGCAGCCTGAGCATGAGCGTGTGGGTCATCCCCCTGCAAAAGGGGATGGGTAATTTATAGGGTGTTGTGTATAACGGCGGGGGGGGAATTACTGCCAAATACTGCCTGGGCAAAGTTGCATCTGATGCTCTGCGTAGGCCCTAACGAAGAGCTCAAGCTAAGAAAATGCAGAATGATGAGGGAAACGGTGGTTGCAAGGCAAAATGAAGGATGCTGTTTCTGCCACGTGGAGCCGTTTTTCAGACGTGTTAGTGGACATGCAACCATGGTTTATTTCTTGATGGTTTTAAATAATGTATCTTTGATAAGGAATGCAGCCATTGACCCCAGTTTCCAGTTCAGGAATGACACATGCTCCCTGCCCTACACCAGCATCGAGGTGGGACAGCCAGCAGAAATGCTGCAGGGGTCAAAACCTACTTCATGGTATTTAGCCAGGAGATAACACTTCTAGGTCTCAAAGAGCTTCACAAGAGGGAGTTGCTCCCCAGGTCGTTGTTTGGACCTGTGACAGCTGAGGTTCAGAGGAAGATCTTGGGTATGGGCAGGGCTGGGAGCTGAGCTGGGTCCATGGGTCTTCCTCACCTGTCCAAAATGGCATTGCCGGGTTTGTATCTCTAATTAACACCGTCCTCTCAGCTGCCCAAGAGAGACTAGCAGGGTTGTAGATGTTTTCACCATCTTTCAGCTGAGGGAAGCGGGTTGTGAGCTGGCCAGTGGGGGAAGGACCATGCGCTCTCTGCAGGGCTTGGCCTCCTCTCACTGGTGGGCATAAAATGAGTGATGCAGGCGCTTGCAAAATTCATGAGGGTGGGCCCACGAAGTGAAACTAAATCAAAGATGTGCACAAATCCCTGCTCGGTGCTGAGTGGCAAAGCACTCGGGGCCAGCATCGCTGGCAAAGCAGCCAGGAAGATGGAAAGCCCCTGTGCTCCCCCAGCTCTGCGGAGGGCTGGCAGCCTGGCGTGGTCGGGTTGCTGTGCCTGCCCCACGCTTGGCTTCTCCAATGGCCTTTGGTGTTAAATCCAACTGGCCAAGGGCAGATGAAAGATGTGAACTGGCAAAGCAACACCAGCAAGATGGGAGGGCATGGGGAGCAGGAGGGGGTTGGATAAAAGGGCAGAAAGCGGAGGAGACGCATCTGTTGCAGTTTCTGCTCAAAGGAGAGTTAACTGAGCCTATGCCCAACCTTCTTTTGTCCTCTCTTTCAGCTTAGTGGTGCCAACTACTCCTCCCTGGTTCAGAGCTGGAGCCTTTAAG